GCCGCTTCCTCATTCCACACCCGTGGATTCTGAGTAGTATATGAACAAAATTACACTAATTTGGTATTATAATTTATAAAGCCCTATTATTCTTGTACGAGAAATATGCAAAAAAATTACGACACTCGACTGAAAGGTGATTACAAAAATCTCGATTACCGCTAAAAGAAGAATACAGAGCAGATTGATGTCATTGTAAGTTGATATTCCAGCCCACAATTGAGGCTAAAGTATCCACAATTTCTCACGCTCCGATGCTTGTCAAAGATGTGGAATCAAAAGCTTATGTCAAATACTACCGAAGACGAAAAATATTTTGTCAATTGAGCTAACTAAAACGAGTGGGTTCACCTACAGTGGGAGGCTGCCCCACCGAATGGAATTGATCCTGATGATCCAGGAATTTCGTGCGGCTTTACAGCTAACACTCAATATCTGAATGTAGCGGATTATTCAATAGTCGATATTGATGTTGAAGGCCCTTGCAATACAATGCAGTTTCACTACTAAAGTTTCACCGCTAAAAACTGCAATTCGAAATGCGTATGAAGAAACTATGCAGGATGCAAGATGTCATTAGGACAGGGGAGGGGATTGACGTTAGTTGGGACTATTTTGAGGATGATATCAGATCGCTGGCGGAACATCATATAAGAACAATCGGTTGCTAAGATATTCTTAAGTGGAGCATGCATGAGCTAACCTACGTCCCGCCCACCCCGGGCAGGGCACATACTGAAACGTTGCCAAAGACAAAAATTCATAAATCGCAGGTTAACAAGAAAGGAAGGATTTTTGAGGGCGGCTTTCACTAAAAAAAACTGCAACAGCCCGTGCGGAAAGAATTCCGCACCACTGAATGCCGCTAGAGGCCGATCTCATGTAAAATATGTAAAGAACATTGTATATAAAATGCCATAGGGCTCGAAATCATAGTAGCAGGCACCTCCAAAGAAGACAAATATCAGGACAAGGGGATAGGCAATCGCAGGATCTAAAGGGCTACTGTAAGCACAAGTATATACAGGGAGGGCCAATAAAAAAAAGACATTTTGTCTCCAGACTCAAATGGATTTAATCACACTTTGCTCAGCTCAAAGCGTGTGCTCCCAACTTAGAATTGAAGAGCGCATTTCATTTCATAAGAAAATCTTCATAGTGGCCATCTACGTGGACGGCATCAGAAAATTTGCCCCGGAAACATGGTGCTCTGGTCGAGCTCAATGGGGTTCTCGACTGATCGTGTACCGTTACGACGGGTTCCGAAGGGCGGGTTCCGAGGGGGTTTGCATAGTTAGAGCTAATGTCCCTAGGAAACTATCCCACGTTGAATCGATCCAAGAAATTATGTAAGAGCTTCAGGCTGAAGCAGTTACTGTAGGCCTCCCTGAGCTCGACGACGGTGACAGATGACGTCATATTCTGAAGACGGTGAGGGTAGTGAAGGAGGGCCTGCGTGTACTTATAGAGGGACATTTAGGGAATATTTTGCTGAGGAACTTCCGTCAACGACGGCAATCTCTGCGAAGAAAAAAGGCCGAAGTGCGACCTGACCAGGCAAAATGTCTTTTTTTGTTTCTAAGCCCCGTCCTCCCT